GCCAAACAGAGCATAAGACAGAGAAACCGATGACAATAATCACTGCAGACATACGTAATGAGAGGGCAGTGGTTAAGGCACTGGAAGGCGTCGATTGTGTCATACATTGCGCCGCTTTGATCGACACAAGCCTTTGGCCGGACGTCAAGTCGATGAACAGCGTTAACGTGGACGGTATGTGCGGCCAGACTATACATGTCTGTCCATTATATACAATAGACACTGGTATTGGTTTAGGGAAGAGATTTATGATTTCACTATCTCTTCATAAAAATATTGACAACTTTTTCAAAGATATAACTTATTGAACGCTGTTTTATAAACAAAAAGTGCTATATTTTTATCGATTATGTGATAACAAAAAAAGTTTAGTTTAAGTCTCAAAGTCTTGTATGGGTATGAAATATGTCTTCTAATTTTAAAGACATAATAACGACGAGAGAGAGAGAGAGAGAGAGACTATAAAACAAAAACTTAAACCAAATTTGTCTCCAAAAATGGCTCATTTATAGAAAATAAGAGAAAACAGAGAAAATAAGAAACAAAATCAAAACCAAACCACTGCTGAATACTAGAGATATACTGTATTATAAAACTGATAGAAAACCCATTTTGACAACATTTTGATAGCCACTGACAGCTAACGACTATAACTACAGACTAGTTTGCAGTGAATCCTCTCTATTTATCCATTATTTTCGCAGTTTTCTCATTAAAAATAGTCCGAAATATATATATTTTTAATTAAATTGTTGTCTTAACCCACAAACAGGAACTCAAATATTGATCGATGCGTCCGTTGAGCTGAACGTCAAGTACTTTATATACGTTAGTAGTGTGGATGTGGTGGTGGGGGACGACCCCATCTATTTCGGGGCCGAGAATACCACTCCACTGCCGAAGCGACACATACTTCCCTACTCTAAGACCAAATTAGACGCCGAAGTCATAACTGCTGAATACTAGAGATATACTGTATATAACTATTATAAAACAGATAGAAAAACCATTTTCACAACATTTTGATAGCCACTGACAGCTAACGACTATAACTACAGACTAGTTTGCAGTGAATCCTGTCTATTAATATCTATCCATTATTTTCGCAGTTTTCTCATTAAAAATAGTCCTAAATATATATATTTTTAATTAAAATGTTGTCTTAACCCACAAACAGGAACTCAAATATTGATCGATGCGTCCGTTGAGCTGAACGTCAAGTACTTTGTATACGTTAGTAGTGTGGATGTGGTGGTGGGGGACGACCCCATCTATTTCGGGGCCGAGAATACCACTCCACTGCCGAAGCGACACATACTTCCCTACTCTAAGACCAAATTAGACGCCGAAGTCAT